TTTTATATTAAATACAATGTATTATCCGTGATAAATAAGTTTTATTCGATAATCTTAGATCCCATCTTATTTAATATTAAAGTTTATTTGTTCGTTTCAAATATTTATTAAATAATGTATACCCATATATATTATATATATATATATATATATATATAGTATAGACAATAATTGCCTTAGAAGGACTACTTGGTAAACTTAAATGGTGAAGATATTGGCGCCATACATTACTATAATACCAAAGCCAATGATAGAATTTTATCATAATGACGTCATAAGCTTTGGTAGTAAGGCGTAGCTTCCTTTTTTTCATTGCTAATGTCATACGTACATATTTATTGCACTATTCATGGTATTGGAATGAATAGTTGTGTGACCAGTGCTGAACGCTAGCTGGTCTGGTTGTTACTGTAGTTAGTAATTTAGTATTCCGTAGTACTGTAGTATCGTATTCGCGTCTGTGAGGAAAAAAGTATAATTGTATTAACCGAAAAGTATCGTCGAAACGTTAGATTAAAAACAACAAAACAAAACAAAAAAAAAAAACGAAAAGTTTTGTACGTTCTGTCTTGTTTAAAATTGTTTGTCCTTACTACGCTTTTCGTTATTTACTTTTTTTGTAGTATCTTGTTGCAGGTGGTGATCTGTCTTAACCAAACAAAAAAAGAAATTAATAAAGTCGCAAAATCTTAAGCGTATTGTTAATTATGTTTTTAATAATGAATTTTTAAATTTTGAAGAACTTTTCTGTTCATTTAATATTGCTCGAAAGAAGATCAAGGAGTTACAGTTGAATTTTCAAAATTGTGCGATGATTCATACTTTTGAGTAACTTTCAAGGCAATGCCAAGATATTAATATTTAATTGTTTCCTAAATATATCTTCTAAGCATTTTTAGAATCTGCCAATGTGTGACTCTGCGGATAGTTCACTCATACAAAAATTAAATTATCTTCAGTTTGAAGATGACAATCCCAATTGCGGGCGAATATCAGGTTCGAGACCCGAGGCTCAAGTTCCTGTTTCTAGAACCATGGGAGCGATCGAAAGTTTCTTAGAACCCGATAATCATAGGGTTGCCCTACCACCCGCTGAGTATAAAATGTACGAAAGAGAAAATATCATAGCATCCTCCAGATTTGCGACTCCAAAGTCGGTTGAACAAATTGAGGAACACCATCAGCATTTACACGAGCATGATATAAAGCAATCTCCTGTATATGAAAATATAGAATATTATCCTCAACATGGTCAAACATACCCACCGTATTATCATCCCATAGATTCAAGGAGAACCTCGAGAGATAGTCCAAGATTATCGATAAGCGGTGAGCAGTTTGATGGAGGATTTAAGGTTCGTATAATTGGCTATAACTATACCTAAAATTATAATTAACTATCGTTAATTGTTTCTGTACATTTCTAGAAATATTAAATTTATATAGACATATATAGAGAAAATTTAAACTTTACATTGAAAAACTAATTTAGCCTTTCATATTAAGTGAAGAATAAATTTTAAATATATTTATTTAAAATTAGCGGTATTTGTCAAACTCTGTAAATCTCTGATTAAAACAATTTTACATATAATTCTTGATTCTATTTAAAAAATAGTTTTGTATGACTAATATAAATAACAAAGAATAGTGTAACTGACCATATTTGTTTTGTTAGAGGTGATTCATTTGCAATTAGTATAAATAATTCAATATTTTACTTATCGAATTACTTTATATCGATGGTTATTTTATAATTAGATAAACTTGAATATTGATATGTCTAGAATAATTGATATAACCTAAAGCTATTTGTATGCTTTGATCGAATGAATTTTTGTCACATATGTCAGCGTGAAAGCAAAAGTACATTATAATAATGATAATAATTTTAATTCTATGTCTACGGTCATTTCCAAATATTTAGGATAACGTTTAGAACGATAATTTTTCTATTTACGTTACTTTATATATTGAATATCTTTTTTGTCATTTTATTCATATTTATAATATTTATTAAACAATATTAATTAAAAAAAATTCTCTCTAAACTCGTATACCTAACCAGCTCGTCCACTTAAATTTCCTTTACTTATAATAACATATTTATAGGTTTGTATGGGATCATTGGAAGCGGGATTAAACCATCATAAAAAAGCGCAACCACAGGTACCAACGACGAATAGATATCAGTCAGCTTCACCAGCCAAAGAATTGCCACCGTACGAAGCACCGCCTGTTTATGAAAATATTCAAGATGTTCATTACTCCGAAATTAATAAAAATAAGGCAAGGCCTCAAGTACCATCGACTTACTACAATTCAATGAATATTAACGGTGGAGATTATGTTGTAATGACGGGCAAAGTTGGTCCTGCACAAGGACAAAAAGCCAATGTCTATGCTCCTCAAAAACACGATCGGGGACAAAATTATGATAACTTCTTTCAAAGATCATACGATCAAAATTTATGTAATAAATACATATCGGCAAATTCCCTAGAGCAACAGAATAATAAAAGTACTTATGTGCCACCTTCGGAACTTCAACAGGTTAAAAACTTTACGTATGAGCAATCGCATCAACATCAACAGCAACCTCAACAACAATATTCTCCAAGAACAAATTTATCCTATCATGCGGAAGCATCGTCTATGGGCTACGTTCCAGATCAGCAATATAAGCATTATCGAGGTGCTACGGTAGACGGACTCGGTCAGCATAATCATCATCGACAGGAAAATGTACAGACAAACAAGCAATACGTCGATCAAGTTTTAATATATCCAACAAATGCTAATACTTCGCATACCGCATACTATAATAATGGACAGTCGAGAAATGCACCTGCATTCACTACACCAAGATCCGGAGATTGTCTTAGCAGGTAAACATATGGTTCTAGTTTAGTTAAATTAATTCAAGTATTTAAGAGTGGGGATATTTTTAATTTGCCTCAATTCACATAAAGATTAAATGACTAAGAGCATTTTTAAACCAATTATTTATAGAAATACTCACTGCTACTCTCCAAATTGCATCAGTCAGCAGAACGAGAGAAATTGTCAGCATACGGATCCTCGACTGGATTCCGAGTCACGTAATTCTAATTACAGTTCGAATCAACCAACCGAACCGAATTACTCCAGTCCATCTGGCGATAGAAACTTACTCGAATCTAACGAACAGCCTCGAAAGCCAGCTTCGATACAATTTACTCCAAAACATTCACCGGTAGCTGGGCCACACTCGCCAAAAATCTGCCCACCACCAATACCCTCGCAAGATGTATCAGTGATCTCGCCAAGGCGCGAAACACTGGATAATCCAATAAGGGGTCAGGTCCAGGCACCGGTAACAAGCGCATCCACTGCATCGGATTCTTTAGGTATTCATGGACCAAGAATTACAAGTTTGCCGCCAGGAGTAACGAGCGGTGTCGCAGGCCCAGTTATACTCAGTGATGGAGTGCCGATGATACAGAAACACGAAGAGCTGGAAACGGAGATGAGGACATTGATTAATCCGCCCATCAAGCCAAGTCTTGGAAAAGGACTACTTCCTTATAATATCACACCTCCAAGGCCATTGGTAATTTAAAAATTATGTTTAACTAATAATAGAAAACTATTGAAATGATCTATACCAATAGATAGATATGATCTATCTATATCCAATGTTATTTGTGTCGAGGCTTATTTGTATATTGGAAAGTGCTTGGAAATAAATAAGCACTACGATACAAATATTTATTTTTAATGTGTCTATAAGAATATATGTATCATTCGTTTTATATGTATCATTTATTTTTTCGTCAATAAATAATTAATATTACTCTCGATTGAATAACTTTCAAATTGTCCAAAGGGTCCGACAGAGGCTGAAAGAAAAATTGAGGAATTAACGAGACAGCTGGAAGAAGAAATGGAGAAGCAAGAAGAAGAAGGCGAATACTTTGGTAAACATAATTAATGAAATTAATGAAATGATGGATTTTTATTAATTAATTTTATTAATTAATTTTTAAAGATAAAGTATATAGAAATTATTTTTCCCTCTATTGAGATATTTAAAAAAAAAAAAAAAAAAATCACCAATAGCTCTTTTATTTCAAAACATTGTAAAACCATTAGATTGTATCTATCAATTACTCTAAAACCATTAATTGTAATAAAAAGAAATATTTCTGTTTAAGGCATTTGTCATACATGTCGAGAGAAAGTAACAGGTGCCGGACAAGCCTGTCAAGCGATGGGTAATTTATATCACACCAATTGTTTCATTTGCTGCTCTTGCGGTAGAGCACTTCGCGGTAAAGCATTTTATAACGTAGACGGACGAGTTTACTGCGAAGAAGATTATCTAGTAAGTAATTTATCCATTAGTTGCAATCTGTGATGCGTAGTAAACTAATTACATTACATTAATTTACTAACGGTGTCCAATGGACAAAATTTAAATTCAATTCAACAAATTATGTACTTATGCTTATGCGTACTCCAAAATAATATATATATATATATGACTAATGAATCGGTAAACTTTAAAAGACAATATTTTAATTAAAACCAACGTAAAATAAATAATATATATTGAACATTCCATTTTATTTATAGTTTTTATTTAGTAATTTCTAAATATTTCTAAACATGCGTAATGACATTAGTATGGAAATAAATACATAATCAATTTGGTAGAAATAGTAAATTTATTTATCGCTGAATTAACGATGAATGATCGGTGATTTATAGTATGAACCTTATAGTAATGATCTAAATTTAATCTTTCAGTATTCGGGATTCCAACAAACAGCAGAGAAGTGTGCCATATGCGGTCATCTTATAATGGAAATGGTAATGTGCCTTGTCTATTTATTTATTTATTTATTTTATCAGTCCAGCATATCCTTGCTGAAACGCACTTCAATACCAACAATGAAATTATCAGGAAGAATTGTTAGTTTATTTAAGAAATAAAATAATCATAATATCATAATCATAACATCGATGGAACAAAGTATATTATATTTTAATTATTATCTTTGTCATTTTCATAGATTTTACAAGCAATGGGAAAGTCGTATCATCCTGGCTGCTTCAGATGTTGTGTGTGCAACGAATGCTTAGATGGGGTACCTTTTACCGTCGACATAGATAATAAAATTTACTGCGTTAATGACTATCACAGAATGTTCGCTCCGAAATGCGCATCCTGTGGCAAAGGAATCACTCCCGTTGAGGTAAACGATATCGAAGTGCGTTGTTTTCTTTTATTTATTTATTTACTTTATTTATTTCTATTTCTATTTTAACTCTTTATTTTTACAAATTTATTCATTTGTACTTTTAACATTTGGGCGGTTCATTTATATTTCTAAGAACAATCTGCAAGAACTAGATAGAGATAAAATTAATAAAATGTACGTAAGACATATTTTAAATAGTCACGTGTTTTTTTGTTTTTAGTTTTTTGTTTTTTTTTTGTTTTTTTTTGTTTTTTTTTGTTTTTTTTTTTTGTTTTTTTTTTGTTTTTTTTTTGTTTTGTTGTTTTTTTTTTGTTTTTTTTTTGTTTTTTTTTTGTTTTTTTTTTGTTTTTGTTTTGAATTATAAAGAATAAATGGTGAAAACAAAATCTCTAATTGTGATGGGGATAACAATAACGATAATAATGTATTATCGCATGCTGCGGCTGGATTAAATTATTATTGATTTTTATTTGCAGGGCACGGAAGAGACAGTAAGAGTTGTTTCAATGGATAAAGATTTCCATGTTGATTGTTATGTATGCGAGGACTGTGGAATGCAATTGACCGATGAACCAGATAAACGCTGCTATCCATTAGATGGTAGATTAATGTGTCGTGCCTGTCACATTCAACGTATCTCGCATATACAGCCCAGAGCACCACAACCTGTTTCTGCAAGTTATCAGTTTATGGGTTGATTATTTAGGACAAATAATGTATAGGATTTTATCTTTTAACAAGGACGCAAAATAATTGATTGTCCGAATGTGATATAACAAAACGAGTAGAAGTAATTTAACGAAACTCTCATGCGTATGAGAAGAGATGAATATGTTAACGTGCATAGTGTCTGTGTGCGAGTCTTTTGGAGTTAGCGCACTGTCGCTGATTTCGAAGCTGAATTCTTTGATAATTCTACTTTAGTTTTCTTTCATTTAGATAGATCGTCTTAGCTATTGCAAATCTAATTTTAATCTCTAACGTTTAATCGCTAATTTATTACTTCTAAGCTACTTTAAGACGTGGTCTGACAAAGAAGAATTATCTCTATTATTCATACATTTTTTAAGCATCAACGATTAATCCTTCCTCGACAAACTGATCTCGAACAATCGTTATTCGTTATATCCTCGTAAAGGATGTAATCGCTGGATTTTTGTTTATGATCTTGAGTATAATATCAAGGAATTGTGCCTACAATCGATCGATTGTTTTTAATCAAACGGAATGTTATAGTCCTTAAGAATCAGTGAAGATGCAAACATTTATTTATCTTCAAATTATTGTAAGAAATAATTTGACTTTATTAAAAATGTTTTTGATTTGTACATTGTATATTCAATTTCATTGGTCAGAGCGATTGATTAAGAGCTATGTCCACGTAGGAATTTTTTTTTTTTTTTTTTTTTTTTTTTTCCCTCCATACAGAACTTCTCGCGTATCAAATCAAATACATCAGAAATTGAGCAAAAACTTAATTTATGTTTCCACGTCATTTTAGCATAAATAAGTTTGCGATAATCGCATCATAAATATTAATATAATTTTAATATACATTTTTGAATAATCTTTTGTGGGTAAAATTCATTTAAAAAAAAAAAGATTACATTTTTTTCCCCATATATTTCGCTGATGTTAAACAAAATATTTAATTGAATACCAATTATCAAGTGCGACAAAACGAAAGACCAACGCTATCTGTTTATACAATTCTAATTTCGCTTACCTTAGTAACTAGTTATAATCATATATATATTTCATACCTTCTCTTCAGCTGAGCTCAATCAAGTTAATAAAGATACGTTAAATACAATGCAGAATGAGCCTTGTTAAATATAGAGGTAACAATAACAAAACAAAAACAAAAAACAAAAAAACAACAAAAAAAAACAACAAAAAAAAAACAAAAAAAATATATAAAAAATACAACATTAAACACTATGTATTTTACTAAAGAGTGAAATACATTTTTAAAAACATTGAAACGTAAAGACTTTAGTTATAGTATAAAAATTATGTAAAAGATTGATTTTGTATTAGCATTATGATACGCGTATTATAAAATCTATATAAAAGGTATAATTCAAAGCAATAATAATAACATTAAAAGTAACAAATGTAACATTTATCTTGACAGTACGAAAGATATTACGCGCCGACATACGTAAATTGTTTATTAGTATCGTATTCATGTGCAAAATAACTTATAAATTATGTTTCGATTACTTTTTTTTATTTTTATTTTTATATATACTAGTTAAAGAGAAATGAAGAAAATGTGTGGATGTTGCTAACGATACAATTTTCTAACTACAGATAAACGACAGCGATTAATTTAATTCTAAGAAAATGTCTTTCGATAATGGTATAAATATAAGGTCTTAACCATGCAATTAAAAATTAAATATTAAGACTATACTCGTAATTAGGAAATTAAAATTCTAAAATAATCGAATAGTTAATCTAAAGTGCCAATATTAGCTCAGGATTGCACTTCACGTAAATCAAATTTACCTACGAATTATGCTTTTTTTCTTTTCTTTTCGTCCACAAAATACATAAAAAACACAAATCACTATCAACGTTTTATTGTTCAATAATCATGCAATCGTCCGAACTTTGAAAGTTAACTTTGGCGAATATTGCACTTTGTGCCCGTTCAAGCCATAAAAAAGCACTTAAAACTCCCGTGGTATTAATTAAATATGTGCGTTGGTTGCCCCGAGCGACAAATTTGATATTAATTATGCTTTGTCGATCAAACTGCTTAAACGATCTCTTAGAAGATACAAAGTGTCTTTTACACATTTTGTAAGCGCGTTTTATATATTTCAATCGTATGTCTCATGAAGATTAACGAACTCGTCATTTGAAAATTACACGATTGCTTTCAATCAGAACTCTTGCTCCTCGCACGTTATGTGCATGAAATCATGTCGTATTCTAGATAAATAAATACCTCTCCCCCACACTATTAGAGAAGCAAAAATTTTGAAAACCATAATTGCTGACTTTCCAGATAACATTTATTATCGCTGAGAAAAGTAATTTTTTCATTATTTTTTTAAAAAAAAATAACAAATACTTGTATACATCGAAAAATTATCTAATTAGCCAGTAATCGAATAACTTGTTAATTAGAATGTGTACGCAAGTTTCTGTTGCAAATTGCAAAATGTTTCAATAGCAACATCAGACTGTTATTCTTTCCTAATGTATGATATAATTTTATGAAACATACAGCGTGGACGCAAACGATCGAGCTATACACAATCTAAACGTCTCCTCGGTAACTCCTCATAGCCCATTCCCTATCTTTTATCACGCGAAAGTTTTTATAAAATTTTCACGTTTGTGACTCTTAGTATGTACAATCAGAATAATGATGTTTTATGCTCTAGAGAGATGACCATTTATTTTGACGCTTTGTACATATTGTTGTGTTCATGTAATAAGCTATATTTTACAAACTTTGTATTCGATTCAGGAATCGTTATTATTATTATTAATTTTAACAATAATGATAGCACTTATTTTTTAAGTTAGATACATTGTTTTAAAATGTGTGATTATTATATGGAATATTGAAAGTATCTAGTTACGGTTACAACACCAGATTCTCTATATATCGTAAATGTGTCGCTTATGACTGGCATATCTCCTTTAATTAATTATTAAGAGGCATCGATTGTATAGTTTTTTTTTTTAGTACTCAAGAGGAATTTAGGTAGAATTTTTTTTTTTTTTTTTTTTTTTTTTTTTTTTTTTTTTCAGCGACTAATTTTATTTAATGATAATAATAGTTAATAAAGTCGTAAAATGTAGTTGTAAATTTATATTAGTTCAAAAATCTCGTGCAAGATTTAAGAAATAGAAACAGACATTGTCTGTTAAGGGAAGTACTTAAATACCTTTTCTTTAATGATAACAAATTAAAAAAAAAAAAATTTAATTATGTATATTATGATAGGAATTGATCTTGTTTACCATACTATTATAGCAACGATACTATTATAGAGTATCGTTTGCTTTTTTTGCATATAATCATTATAAAAGTGAGACACTAAACATCATACGAGTAATGTGTTTTTTTTTTCTTTTTTTTTTCTCTTAAATTTAATTCGCATAAATCTTTATGATTTTAAGAGTCTTTAATTTTAATATATTCAGCTTCTGTTTAAAGGCAAGATTATAAGCATTGATATCTAATTATTGTAATCTTACGTAATAGAAAACATTGCGATAAACTATGTGTAATCAGGGTAAAAATTGAAATCCACCTCCTAACCGAATCTGAATCATGCATTATTATTTTTATATCACTTGAATATTATTCAACGTAGATACAGGCGCGGTTTGGAATATATTACATCGATTAACTAGGAAAAACAAGAATGTTCCTCATTTTGAGCTTGCCGCGATCCCTGCGTATAATTATATAATGGATCATCCTTCGTTGTCGTGTTCGTTGTTCGTTGTTGAGTCGAAGATATCGGACACGATGTTCTCGGAGACGATCGCTCGTTTGTTGGGGTGTGTTGGTGGTGAACGTTTCCAACGTATGAGAATGCTGCCTATTGTTTTAATATAGGCGGTACAATATGTGCTATAATATAAATTGATTGAATTCGAATACTGTAAATGAGCGTTGTTTTTACGTTTCAGCTTTGAATAATAGATGACGAATTTGAAAATATTCAATAGGTGTGGTTGACCGCCTTCTATTTAGATTCAAGTTTGAATGACCAAAAGTTACCCTACTTTTAAGTTGAAGGAGAGAGAGAGAGAGAGAGAGAGAGAGCGAACATTACAAGTACACTAGACAGCTGTTAATAAGCATTGATCTCTTCTATCGTAGGGTGTTGAAAATTTTTTATATAATTCAAGTCAGAATAATACTGGTAATTCTTCAATTACAAGCTACGTGATTTTATTATATATATTTTTTTTTTTCTTTAAAAATTCGTAGTCAAGCATAAGTATAATCTCATACTCATTCCGACAGGTCATGTAAAATTTATAAAAAATTCACTTCTCAAATTATACTCATTAACGATATAAGCCATCATCAGGCTCTGTCATTTAATTCCTCGGTAATGTAGATCGAAAGAATTAGTGTCTTGAGAGAACAATAATGTGAATTTAGTCTTGAAAATATTTATTCTTCTTCGGTCGATGAATTAGATAGTTATTACTTTAATACATAGGCTGTACCACTAAGAGATAAAAGAATGATAATGTCATTAGTGGTCATTAGTGATCAGGTACTTTGTTATGGAGTTTATATGCTGTTTTTATGGTGTACCAAAAGTATGCATAAAATACGAATGGACATAGAACGGGGGGGGGGGGGGTTAAATGGATAAATAAATTGAATAAAATGTTATAAGTTGCTTCCGCCGACTTGACGAAAGCGGTTGCATCATTAGGATGCTTCACGATGATCACACGTTCGCAAGAGTGTACCATACAAAATTTCTTGGAAGTATTTATCGAGAATGTACATTATTTCTGATATATACGTATTGCACACTATTTATTATGTTAAAGCTATTAATTTTTAAAGATGTATATTTTTATCGTACGTCCGAGGTTAACATGAATTTTATTATATTAATTTGTAATTGTTAATGATTCGTTTATAGATTATATTGCAATTCTTAATCATTTATGAATAAAAACATTGAACATACATATATATATATATATATATATATTTGTGATATTATGTTTGTATCATAGTCCTATTATTGTTTTATTCATCGTAAACTTTCGAAAACTTTATAGATATAATGATTTATTTTACATGGGCTTACCGTATTCTATTTTTAATACATTTAGATAAAGAATGATGAAGACAAATCTGATTCGTGAACATACATTTGTGATCTGCCTGTTTTCGCAATAAGCTCAACAAATCGCCATTAATTAGTATTCATAATAATAGTAGACAAACATTTATTTACCTAATCTTATTGGTCATTTACCCATATCATAATTATCGAATCGAGTGAAAGAACGTGGAAACTGAAATAAATTTCAATATTTAAACATTAAAATATTAAAAGTTTTCTTGAATTTCAATGTATACGGTTGTGAATATCGAAACTAAATTATAACATTTTCAAAAGAGCCAACTTGTATTGTTCTATTGTAATACTTTTTTTATTTGTGAATACATATATATATATATACAGCGATGCTTTTAATAATGAAGAGTAGCCGATTGCGATATCCATTCAAGTAGATAAAAACTACTTTTGTCTCAAATATTTTCTATCTAAGATAGACGCGCTGAGATCTATTGTATTATCGGAGAACGAATGTTTTAAAAAAAATTATCAATTCTTAAACTCACCGTAGAGTTAATTAGAGATTTTTTTTTCTGACCGTATAACTACCAAACTAACTTTTTTTTTTTTTTTTTTTTTTTTTTTTTTTTTTATTATTATTTGTGTGTGTGTGTGTGTGTGTGTGTGCGCGCGTGTTTTTTCTTTTAATAAGCTCTAGTGTTCAATTACAAAGATTATGATCAATTTGCAAGCAATAATTTACACATTGGAATCTTTTAATAGTATTATTAAACAGCCATAGAGTTACAGTAGATGAATTAGAAAAGAAAAATTGAGCGTCATTCGATACAATTTAGTATACAAGAATACAATTTAAATGTACTTCACATATAAACGAAAGTAATTATTGGATCATAGTCATTCACGAGATTCACGTTAATTCTTAAACGCAGTGTCTTCATTTTTAGACTCTTCTTACGTCGCGCAAATATAAGGCCACGGTTAGCTAATTAGATAAAGCCAATAGACAATTTAATGTGTAAACTTGATCATAATTGCAATTGATTATGAAATTCATACGCTGTACGAACGTATATTTGATTTAAGCTTGAAATTAATCTACACGCTCGAATGACGGGCATAACGACCAATGTCGAGGCATAAATGCTTTTCGCATCGAGCCAGATGCATTTCGTGCCCCTACCGACCGATTCGACCCAACAGATCTTTTCTTTCAAGAAACGTGTATTATGCATAATGGGTAAGTAGTCACACCCAGTCACATAGTTTTATTATGCGCATGCGTTGGTTTAAGGGGGTTGACTCCAGCGGCTCTATCGGTGGTTCGTACGATAGCTCCGCGAAGGCGGAGGGGGTGGTTTTCCAGTCGTCCATATCTTCGTTGTCGGCACGCGTCCTTGTCGCTACATAGAGAGATATTTTAAAGGACAGTAACATTGTTGGAACGATATCCGGACCCATCGCTAGTCAAACGTGAGTACACGACTCCCTCCCTTCTAGCAAGCTTATTTTTTTCGACCGAGACGCTCGTACGACGATGGTGTGGGGCATTTTTGGCAGGCACGACTGTGTAGACATTTTAGTGTGTACTTTTGTGTACAGTATAATGCGTCGCCTCGGCCGAGATTGATTAGTTGTGCTTTCCATGTTTCGAGAATGAACGGGGGCTCCGAGGAGATTTGGGTGATGCTGCAACCTTCTAATAGCGATACGTGATTTTGGTAAATTGCTCTGTCAACTTAATACATTATTAATCACTGTTCGACGAAGAGTGCGTAACGACGCTTATTACACTCCTTAATACTGCCGATAATTTTTAACGCGAATCTAGTGCATTAGTATTGGAATCTCAATCGCCTACGGAAGCTTAAATTCGCGTCAAATAGATGAGAATATAAAAAAAAAATTTTAATGCCAAAGTAAATCAATAATTTTCTGATGCGTTTATTTTAAAGAAATGTTTATAAACGATTTAACAATGTTTGCTAAAGAAGAATAGATAACCGATATTATATGACCGGGACATTAATGACCGGCTTTATATGTATTCTTAAAAGAAAAAAGAAAAAAAAAAGATCGACTTAATCTTGAGAAATGTCAAATTTCATCAGTTTTTAAGATAAATCAGCTTTCAACTGAATCGTCCATCTGAATCAAGGTCGTTTATTATTATTTGCCAATATTGTTTCATAAAGAAAATACGTGTGAGTTATATTTATAAATTATTAACAAAATAGTAAAAATAAAAGAGTGAGAGTGAGTGAGTGAGTGAGTGAGAGAGAGAGAGAGAGAGAGAGAGAGAGAGAGTAAAATAATGGTATAGAAGATGCAGCCGGTTACCAGAATTTTTGGTTTTATCTCTTTTTCCCTCTTCTTTCAATTCTCGTCAATATTCCACTTCTCCATTCCACCCATTCCCTTTCCTCGACGCACATTCTCTCTCTCTCTCTCTCTCTCTCTCTCTCTCTCTCTCTCTCTGTCTGTCTGTCTGTCTGTCTGTCTGTCTCTTGCGCCCACAATCTCAGACTTTTTCTTTCTTTCGTGTACGTGAAACATTGTGCACAGCCTGTTTGAAGCGATCGATGTGAGTTGATGATGTAACTTTCTAGGCATTCAAATACACATTGTAGTTGTCATAAAAACAATTATTTAATGGCCAACACTGGCTCAAGAATTCTCGAAACATTTTTAATCTTCCATAAGAAATATTCACTTCAAATATGAAAAATGATCTACAATACGGTATACATACAATTTCTCCAAGTGTAAACTTTGAAACTTACGAAACCGTTAATATTGTAAGTACTATGATATTAATATGATAGCTTTAAACGGAATATTTCTCATATACTATTTATATATTATACTTTTTACATACATAATTGAAAAAATTTTATTTCATTATTGGTTGTTTCTTTTTTCTTTCTTTCTTTCTTTTGGTTAAGTTATGGTAATATATTAAAATAATTGTTAAAACATTGTCAAAAATGTGAGTAATTTACATTGTTTAGTTGAGAAATTACAATGTGTGTATTATTATACATTTTTTATGACAATCATAAAATTGATTACGGCTCGTTGGCGGAAAGATTAATGTTTTTTTTTTTTTTTTTTTACGTTCGCGAGAAGAATTATCTTATTGCCGCAACTGGCAACGGCACACTATCTCTTAATGCCTTTTATTTGGAAGGATATTTTAGATTTTCAGTAATCGCTACTTTAAACGAAATACGATTGTTCAACGATTGTACATTCAATTAAACCTTAATAAAAACACAAAAATAAAATATCTAAAAATAAATCCGGTCGACGGTGTAGTATCGAATAACATCTCGCAGTAGTTAAGATGAATTATTCTGGAAAATGGTATTAAAATTTACGGGACTTTGAAGCAACAGCATCGAGTGAAAGCAGCAAAAATGAAAATTCATAGTAAGAACATTATTGTAATAACGAATGCTAATAACTTGATTATAGGTCAAGCATAAGCTAGAATGGCAGTCGACGCGTGCAATGACGCACGATAATGTTACATTAATCTAACGCTTAAGCGCCTCGGCTAAACAAAGCGTTAAAAGTAAAAAATAAATAAAGAAACAATATGGAATAGATGAATTTTCAAGGGGCTGAGTTTCATTAAGCGGCGCGATTAATAAAGCGCCTCTTCCAGCATCGTGACGATTAAAATAAAAGGAAAGTCTGGCCCCGATTGGTCGCTTATCGCTGCGTCGCAGACTCGACGAGGCTCATCGAGTTCAAATCTCCACTCGCAATTTTCGCCTTCGATTGATAAAACTTTGGGCACGTCGGTATGTCGTGTGACTGTTTTAATCGCGCGATAGTATTTGAATATAATTAACGAAGGCTCGACGACGCGAGGCTCGAACGAGCTGCCTCAACTCGTGTTTTGCATCCCGGCATCCGACGAGACCCTCCACACACGTACGCTGCTTCGTCACTCGACTTTATTGATTGAACGCGCGCGCATACACGCCGTACGTCCCATCCTCCCGCTTCTTCTTCCTCCATCACCACCACGACCTTTACGACGACGACGACCACCACCACCACCACCACCACCACCACCACCACCACCACCAACACCACCACCACCACCACCTTCACCACCTTCACCACCTCCTCCTTGTCGTCGTCGTCGTCGTCGTCGTCGTCGTCGTCGTTAATCGTCATCGCGGCAAAAGTTTCGCCGGCGAACACCAGGGCCGACTCAAAGTGTTCCTCGTGCTGGAAGCTCGATGCTCTCGTTACCGCAACGGAAATATAATGAATGAGCTCGTGGAGGCTGCGATAGCACGAGGAAGATAAGGAGTGGGCGTCTCCTATCGACCCTCCGTCTACACTCTGTTCCTCTTCGCTTTCAGGAGGCTCAGCGCTATGCGGTTCAACGAGGCTGTCTGCAATTCTATGCCACCGGTATACATTGAACTGCAGAATAATAAGTAAGTCCTGCCCTCCAGTGCAAAATTTCAACCAATTTGACGTTTACGCGTGAGTCGAATAAATACGAGCTGAGTCCATTTGTCCTTTCGAGGAAGAATGTACAATGGTAACGGTAATTGTAGAAGCGACTTGGATCAAGTATTTCATACCTAGGCGCACTCGCCTTTCGCACAATTATTCTCTCGTTTGCCCTCATAGGCCTACAACATAGATTACAAATTCGTCATTTAATAAGTCATTGGTTTAGTTTTCAAGGTAATGAGCAATATAGATTTTGCGAGCTTGAGCAAAGACTATTCTTCTTCGTCTCATTGCCAATAACGATCCAATAATAACACTGACATAGGCAATTAAGCCGGCACTTTTGAGCTCAATTAAACGTTAATCATATCATTTCGAGACAAAAAGAAAGTTTACACAACCAATTACAAGTGCATTTACGTCAGCTCTTAATTAACCGGATAACGACTAGTAAAGTATGGTGCATCCTTTATTTCATTAAATAATTCAAAATTCACAAGCTCGTAAATGAGTGTTTTATTACTGTATAAGCACAAAGCTTATGTCCTTATTTATCGTCTGGAATAATCAATTTTTCAATTTTTACACATTTTCATTATCACGTGCGCCTCGGCAAATACATTTGATTATACATTTATTTATGTATTTATTATTTTTTTTTCTTTTCTTTTTTTTCATTACTAAAGAGCGCTACTTCCAATAAATTTATTCATTTATTCTCAGAGTCAACTATTTATATATCTCAGAATTAACTAGAATAATGTAAGTTTTTTCCTTTTCTTTTTTCAATTATTTTTCTGTTTTTATCGCAACTACCTGACTAATTACATAAAATTAATAAGAATTATATTTTATAAAGATGATAACGATATTAATGTTGAATAATTGTGAAAATACAGCTTTTATACTAATTTTAATGCTACTTATTTGAAGAAAAAAAAAAAAATGATTATAACATTTTATTGCATTTTAAGACTTAATTATTAATTATTTAAATTTCACGTAATTCGAATGATTATTATTTATTTATTTATTATTATTATTTGTATTATTTGTATTTGTATTTTTTTTCTTCAATAAATTGTACATACTTCATCGTTTTCTTGTATTATTACACTCATTGATTAATAAATATAATATGATACACGCTTTTAGCGCTATAAGCACTTTGAAATTGAAAATAAATTATTAATGAAATTTTCATTCGGTAGTTATAAAAACTGCTGTATTCTAATATAAAAATCTAAAAAAAAAAAAAAAAAAAAAAAAAAGTTTTTTTTTTCTAAAAAAACGTTTTCTTTGTCTGTCTGTCTGTCTGTCTGTCTATCTTTGAATTCTTTAAATAAAATAACGTTTTAACGTTAATTGAATCATTACAGTCATTTACGAAGAAGCTCATCTGAAATAATAATCAATGGCAAAGTTGACTGCGTGATCGAAGATCAAGGTACCAAAGAGTTTCGCCTAGGTCAAGATACGAGTACATATTCATCATTGGCTATTACTTGTAACAGTAAAATTCACAAGCATAAGAAGAACAATAACCTTGATAATTCATACCAAAGTAGCTCTACCGAAAGTCTAACTGATTACGACGGTGAGTGTCTTTCCTTCAATCCAATTAATAATTCATTATAAAGATCAATATTAATTAGTGAATTAATAATTTTTTTTATTATTAGTTACCAGCACCTTGTAATAGTTTAATATACAATTATAATATCGTTGAAGTTTTATAAAATTAAAACATATATTGCCTTGGAAATATATCGCCATTTCATAATTTCATCGAGGTGTGTAGACATGGTTGTAGACATTTTTTTTTTTTTTTTTTTTTTTTTTTTTTTTTTTTTTGTAACATTAAAGATCCAATTGGATTTCGTGCTTTTATTTTGATTTTAATATATTTATACCTTGTCAAAAATATTTCTTAAACTTTTATTAATTAACGAATTATTG